TTACAAAAGCTAGAATGACCAATCAAAATACAAGTATATGAAAATTCAAAAAACTTGACAACGAACTTTGGTTATAATAATTATTTAATGCTTTAATGTTAGGGTTAGACTAAAATAGAATTCATTATAACTAATAAATATTAAATTATACTATCAAATTCAAAATTACCAATTTTAAATTTTAAATTTAATTAATATTAAGTTTAAAATTATAAAATTATTTAAAGAAGAAACTGAGGAAAAATACATACGTTTTTTTTTATTTTGTTTTTATTAAAATTAAGTTGGAATAAACTTTAGGATCTAATGATGTTCTGAACTCCGTTACAACTTAGATACATTTGAATGGAAGAGAAGTGTTAGGGACGGTGAAATCTTGCAAAGGACAATAGACAACATACACACACACAGATAGAGGCACACACACACACACACACATATATATATATATATATATATATATATATATATATATATATATATATATATATACACGTGGTGTATTTCTGTGTAGGTATTCTACATGATTGAATATTCATACTGGAATTTACATTTACGATATGTGAGTAATTTCATTAGAAAGATTTATTTCCGGAAGAAGAAAATTTTATAATTGTTTTGCAATATGCAGTCCGGACGTGAACACAATTTTGCAGATAAAGCACGACAAGTGCATTGAATTCCGGAGATCCCACTTTGAAGGAGATGACCCTCATGAAAATCTCTGAAAAAATTTGGAATATACAAACACTATATATATATATATATATATATATATATATATATATATATATATATATGTAGGTTTGTCCGTTAACGTTTTTTTTTACTTACTTTTATTTTTTATGTATGTATGTGTGCGTGTGTTTGTGTGTGTGTATGAATATATAGAAGTGTATTTTACGGAATATAAGACGTGTCTTCATGATGGAAGCAGTTCAAATTGAGCTTAATTTTGTTAAATAATAAATAAGATAAATTGACTTGTGACTGTCATACAAGCTTACACAGGCTTATATTTACATGTGTAGACTTATGTGTATGGTTTCATACATATCTATTTATCAGTCTTTTTTTTCTATTCACAGATATTTCAAATATATCTACAAATGACTTCTAAAAGAACATTTTGTGTGCATTTTTCTTTCATGAAATTAATATGCCTTATATTCACACACACACGCACACTCACACACCACGCAATATACCGCTTGCACTGATGCATAAAAAAGATGTCACCGCTAGGTGTTGACTGCAGTGTCCACTTTTATATTTACATACGCTATATCTCTGATATTGAACGCTCTAAATCATAGATATATGACATTAAAACTATATTTTTATCATCTATATATATATGTATATTTATATTAAATTACCATATCTATGTGCATCTCTATATATATATATATATATATTTAGCTATCACAGTTAAATTTCTATTTCCGATATGAACTCAGTGTATACTGAGGTTGAATAAGACGAGTTGGGATTTTATTGTGTATTACTTTTTGCTCTGTAATAATAAATACATTGAGCTCTTTTTGCCGATCAGTTTTAATGTTTTTTTTTATTTTATATTACTAGAATCCACTTGCATTATATATCAACGGATTTATTACCTTTACTATACACACAACACACACACACACACACACACACACACACACACACATATATATATATATAAGACAAGGTGATTTTGTTTTTTATATAATTTCTCATGCGATCTAATAATCTTTTGAATTAGTTTGTTGCATATATGATTTATGAAATGTTTGCATTTTCCAAAACACGGTCAAGATATTATGTCCATGTTCAAAGTTAATATTATTAATTGTTGTTTTTTTTTTGTTTTTATTAACAAGTCTTCCATTAATTTTAGCGTTTTTTTTTTGTATGTAGATGATGCTATTATATTAGTGTTGTCGACATGTATGTTCCGAATAGTGTCCGGTAGGTCTCCATGAATATTTAAATGAGATCTGATTGAGCTAATGTCAGGAACCTGTAGAGTGAGTCTGCGTGTCAAACATGTTGTAGTGTGGCCTATGTAATTACGAATTTTGATTGATCAGGAATACAATTCCTTAATGGGAATTTATTTTCGTAAATAATATTTGCCCTATTACATACAATAAACTATTTCTTATTTTAACAGTTAAAATATAATCCTTGAAAATGGCTAAATGTATAGCCGAAAGCGCTCGAATAAAAGAACATTCGGACAGTTTTTATATAATTTATCAAAAAAATATATTAGATCGCATGAGAAATCGTATTAAAAAACTAAATAAAAGCACCTTGACTGTCGTTTTCACTGAAATGTGCATGAAAGAAAGATTGCTGCCTAATTACTGAAATATATATATATGTTTGGAAGGTATGTTATTGCAGTCTATAGAAGATTTATTTATTTAGAAATCACAAAATCTACATACATATATTATTCAAAATATTTAAAAATTATTTTCGCTCGCATCGTGGTTTAATCATAACCTATTTAATTTTCAATGCACACATGAGATCATTATGATAGATACATAGATAGACATGCTCGCACGATCTAATTTTCTATAGTTTACAAAAGTATTTTATTACATCACGCACACACAATCACACACAACCACACACACACACACACACACACATATATATATATATATATATATATATATATATATATATATATATATATATATATATATATATATATATGTGCTGTATTTCTATGTAAGTATTCTACATAACTTGAATATTCATATGGGGATTTACAGTGTGAACAAGATTTGATTAATTACATTAGAAAGATTTATTTCCGGAAGAAGAATATTTTATAATTTTTTTTTTTTCATATTCGTACTAAATATCTGGCAGTATTTTCTTTAGTAAAATCCCCAAAGTCTTCGAATTAACAAATGACAAATGGCACTTTTCTAAATTGCGTCTTTAATAATTTCGTTCAGTTTTCTTCGAAATCTAAATTGATCCCGTATTAAAAGTTGACAAGATTATGCCTTCCATAGAATTAAATAATGATTCCCATTTTTCTGTCTTCCTGGCGAAGTTGAGGGCCATATTGTCTACATATTAAAATTGTATTTTTTCATCCTTCAAGGGACTGCGTGGGAGTTATATGAATCATGTATTCCACTTTTGGTCAATATTATAGGAGTTACCATAATTTTTCATTCTTCATGTTACATATTCATTAACATTATATAATTATAATGAACTTTAAATTATATAATATTATATTCAATATATATATATATATATATATATATATATATATATATATATATATATATATATATATGCGTGCTTGTGTATGTGAGTAATTAGTAATACCTGAGCACGTTCGTGTTTTAAATAATAATATGTGAAAAATATTTATTTAATAATATTTTAAAATATGAATTGAATATATTGATGGATATACGTTTTACTGTTTGTATGGGAATGGGTTAAGATGTCGACAAATATCGGTCGACTATCGGTGCGTGTTGTTCATATACTTTTTGTGATAAAAAGTCATGGAAAAAGGCATGAACCTATCTAATAAGTATATTACGAAGTTTATGAGTGGGACTGAAACAGATTTATTAAAGCAAATCTAAACATTCACCACACACACACACACACATATATATATATATATATATATATATATATATATATATATATATATATATATATACAATTATTGACTACGTCAATTTATTTAAATAAACTGCGTCTATTTTATGGAGGATATCCTTTCAGGGTTACGGCTCTCCACAGTTTCCTATATAAATTTGATTTTTTACTATGGTATTTTTCACGATGTCACACAAACACACGCACACAAATTCACACACGCATACATGTAAACATTTGTGGTGTCAATATATGCAGTATATAACTTTATACACACACTTTTACTTATATTACCATCCATAAAATAATGCGTAGTTCATGTTAAATAAATCTATCTATCTATCTCTATCTATCTATCTATCTATCTATCTATCTATCTATCTATCTATCTATATACAGAGAGAGAGAGAGAGAGAAAATATATATATATATATATATATATATATATATATATATATATATATATATATATATATCAGTATGTGTACACACAAACACACACACAGACACATACATACACACACAAGCACATATATACATACTAAGGAGGTTTTTTTCAATGTTAAAAGCCCTACATGTTATTTTTACTTTTATTTTATTTTTTTCACACGTGTATCGAGCACTTTTAATACTCTAGAACTGCTTCAACTCTGATCATTATACTTTTTATATATATATATATATATATATATATATATATATATATATATATATATATATATACATAAATATTACAATTTCATACCCCGGTTTACAAACTCATATTCATACAAATCACTGATATTCAACACTTTCCTATAAGTACTGCGCATATATATTACATTATATATATATATATATATATATATGTGTGTGTGTGTGTGTGTGTGTGTGTGTATATATATATATATACACACACACACACACAAATATTTATATATATATATATATATATATATTTACATTTATATATATATATATATATATATATATATATATATATATATATATATATTCTGAATCTACCGCTGGTAGAGAGATAGATAGGAACAGATATGAATAGGCTGAGTTAGGTAGGTAGGTAGGTAGGTAGATAGATAGATAGATAGATAGATAGATAGATAGATAGATAGATAGATAGATAGATAGATAGATAGATAAAGAAAAATCAAAGATTGATATATAAGATAGAAAACAGATAGAGTGAAAAATAAAGATAGAAACAGAGAGATAGAAAGAAAGAATAAAGTAAAAAGAAAGAAATAAAAATAGATAGAAAAAGAAAGAACGATAGATAGATAAATAGATAGATAGACATAGATAGAAAAAGATTCATAAATAGAAAGAAAGAAAGAAAGATTGATATATCGACATAGAAAAAG